GCTGACTGCAGAGTAAAGATCTCTTACTGATCCCACAGCTTCCGCCTCCCTGGTTGCATGGCTGACCCCATCAAGGACAAAAAAGTGAGAGATGTGGACCCAAATCCCCTAGCCCGAGGAGGATCTAACCAGCATTCCTTCTCCATTTCCTCCCCCTTTCCCCATCACACACAGCATCCTCCTGTATGGATGCAGCCACCTACTAGGGCAACTCCAAGTTACTCCAGGTTTAGTCCTTGTTTGAAGCACCTCTGGGCAACTCGCTGATCAGTGTCAAAGTGCTCTGCACTTAGACAAGAGATATCTCCAGATTCTCCCTAGACCTTCCTGTGTTAGAAAACTTCCTCTCTCTGGTCACCAAGGTAGGTCCTCTTCTCAGGTCTGTCATCTGAACTGGGAGCCAGAGGCCAGGCATCTGTTTCTAAATCACCTCAGCCTTTCCCTTTTTTGGAGAACTGAGAGAAATCTTTGTTCTCAAGCCTTGAGGCAGGTGATATTTGCCTGACACAATACAACTTGGAATGAGCCAGATCATCCTTTAAAAGTACCGGTTTCTTACTGTTCCATGTCAAAGTAGCTGAGCTGACCATCTACACTGACTAAAGTTTGGTGAGATGAAATTCTATACCCTGCTCCTCCCTCCTCCCAGACTATCGTGCAGAGATGATTTTCCCCACATTGTAGTTGAACATAAATACTGATTACCATAAATCATGCCTCACACTCATTATTAGAGAGGAAGAACAAGAGAAACTGATGCCTTGCCCTCCAACACATAAAACTCCAAATATCTATTTTCCAAATAAGAAGATGGCCTGGAGTTACGATAATTTCTGTCTCCTCAAATCTTTTTATTCATTGCTAGTGTTGTGCAGGGGCATGACACATTAGTGAGTGATGCCAGCAGTACAGGAATAATGAGATAAATTACAAGGTAGACACAGGAGCACTCCATATGTTCCTGCAGTCCAATTTGAACCCCTACCCTCCCAGCTCAGAGGGACCTGCCGTTCCAGATCCTGGCACTGCTGGCTGAATCAGCATTTTGCCCTTATTATGGAACATGTGGTAGAATCTGTTTCACTAGCACGTCTTCCAAGAAGGAAAAGAAATCACTCATTGCAACAAATTAAAAATGTGCCTAGGTTCAGCAACAGTGACCTGCATTCAAATTTGGAAAGGGTTGATTTTAAGAGCGAATTGGAAACGCATTAAATTAATAAAAGTCATTTCTCAGTCATCTCAAATGACACTTTCTGAAACGCCAACTAAATTGTCATTTCTCCACTGAAGTTATAATAGGACTCTACAGGTGTTCAACTAAGCAAGCCTTTTCCTAAAACTATACTCTTTTTTTTCAGAAAAAATTACAGAGAGCACGACAAACAAGAATAGTATCGCAACTGGACCCCACATATCTCAAACTGGGCACCCACAGTTAGCGTCTGCCTTTGTGAACTGAGAAGTGACTGAGATGTCAGAGGCAGGACTGGAACACGAGCCCTTCTGCCCCTGCAATGCTGGCTGAATCCATTAAATCATTCTTCCTACCAAGTCAGCAACCATCACTCCATTGGACTATTATTAAGTCTTCATCAGTTTCTAGCAGTATCATTCCTATTTGTCTTTCTCAAAGTTGGCAGAGTGTTTTAATCTAACATCACCCGAATCTTGCTTAGCACTCTTCTTCCAAACCCAGGTTCTGGACTGCAGGACATTCCCACTGTACACAATGTACCTCCAGAAATAGCTTCTCAGGAGAAAAAAAACTCACCGGCTGCCCTCTGAGTCCTCGAGGACCCTGTGGTCCTATGGGACCAGGATCACCCTGAAATGAAGAAAAGCACTCTCGTGAGAGGGAAAGATCTGACATGAAGGCAAGCAAACAGGCATTTAAAAATGTTCTGACTAAATGATGCTGCTCACGTATTAGAGGGAAACAGCATTAAAGCAAGTGTCACTACCCCCTTTCAGTTAGCTATGAGGAAGACCAGCCTTTTGAATTTTAAACATCTACCACTAAATGCAGCCTGATTACAGGCAGATATCATTATTATCAGGTTATCACAGAGCTTGATTTCTCACAGACAGAGATTCTCCAGCATTTCTCGAGAATTGACTTTTCTCTCCTGAGGGAGCCCTAAGACCTACTTCTACCTTCTCTCACCAGGGTTCCCTTGGTTTTATCTTCCATTTTACTTTGCAGGGTTCCACTTCCAGCACAACACTTCTCCAGTGAGACAAGGAGGTGCAAATGAGAAACAATTTCCCCAAGTCCCACGGCAATGGCACATCGGCTGCTCGGCACATCACTCAGCAGCTGCCGCAGGATCCCACGTCAGCTGCGCTCTCCCAGTACTTTGTTACGTGACTGCATTTGACACAGGTAATGCCTGAGGATCTGTTTGTACCATCTCCCCCTCCTCTGAGCAGTGGTGTCTTATTCTACAGGTATTTCATAGATGTGGGGAGAGCTGCGTGCTCAGGAAGGTACAGCTTTTGTGGAGGAAGCGGGACCGAACCTGGCCCAGTGGGACCCGCAGAATGAAGCACTGCTCGGAGAGGGGTGGCAGAAAGCAGGTCCATGGCTACGCAGCACAAACAATGCAGCTTCCTCTGCTTTCCTCAAGACAGAGCTGACATTTAAGTGTCGGCAGCTGAGCAGTAGCAAAGGCCCTCAAATTCTTTGCTACCCTAATGATCTTTGCACGAATTATTCCCTGGTGCACCGCTGCCGTAATTCTCTCTTTACTGCAGTTTCTGCAGCTGTTGTAGGTCAGGGTCGCAGTGAATTAAAATCTTCCTTTGTCAGGGAGAAGGAGATGAGTTTCTGCTCAAAATGGCACACTTACGTCCTTCCCAGGTGGCCCCTCACGACCAGCAGGACCTGCCACACCTGGCTCCCCCTGCAATTCAGCAAAAAGGAAAGAAATATCAGCTTAACGTCAAAGGCAGACCAGTAACACCACTATAAGTGGTATGGGGTTTCTGCAGTACTGGATTGAGCTCAGTGAAAACTTCTTTAAAGCCAACAAGAGCCTCATTCATTACACGTAACATGCAGCTCATAAAAATAACTGTGATACACAAGGCAGTGTACTGCTTTCCAGCAGAATATTTGTTACTAGTAGTGCAGTCACTAAAAAACACCAACCTATTCATGATATAGAAACTACTGTGATGAGGAAGAGATGAGGAACTCCACCACTAGATTTTTTCAGCTAAGCTCCGGCTAGCAGAGCATTTTACTTCCCTCTAAAAAGTCATGATTAGGCAGAAGGACATTCAATTTTGTATTCCACTTCCTACACCAAGGTGCTTTCTGTACTGTATCACTCAGAGAGCAGACCAACTCTTCATGCAGGACTGGAGTTTTTGGTTTTATGATCCACAGGCAAATAAGTCAAAGGCCTAGAGACATTTCTATTCTCATTTCTGTAAGTTTTGTTCCTCAACATATTTTGCACTTCTTTGGCATTTTTTAGAGGACAGCTGATATTTGTTGAACAAATGCAGTAGAGTTCCTCACCTTGTTTGTAAGCACTCGTACCAGAGGGATGTGATATGGAGGCAGCCTTGAGACTTCCTCACAAAGGGATATCTCAAAGGGAGCACCAGAGGACTCAGCTCTACCAGCTGCCTCACCTTCCTGGAATCAGAACTTCAGCAGAGGGAATGAAGACAGCTGCTGTGATTTTCTGCCATGGGTGTAGCTCATGGAATTGTAGTTGAAAACAGCCGTGTTAAACACAGACCTGTTGTTGCTATTACATATTGCCTTGGAAAGGTCAACTTCAGTTCACACAATCTTTCTCCAAAGGGTAATGTATGAGGTACACGTTACTTACCCGGGGACCTGGAGGACCTGTATCTCCTCTCTGTCCTTTGAAACCCTACAAAAGAGAATGGAATCAATAATTAGAACAAAAATTATAACATAGGAAGTTCTACCTCAACATGAGGAGAAACTTCTTTACTGTGAGGGTGACAGAGCACTGGAACAAGCTGCTCAGAAAGGTTGTGGAGTCTCCTTCTCTGGAGACTTTCAAAACCCACCTGGACACGTTCCTGTGTGACCTACTGTAGGTGATCCTGCTCTGGCAGGGGGGCTGGACTAGATAATCTTTCAAGGTCCCTTCCAACCCCAGACATTCTATGATTCTATGATTATGCATTGCCAAAATGCATGAAACACTAAGAAAATTCAAGCTGGAATGTTTACTTGACAACTTTCCCAATTTTGTTTAACATTATTGGGGACTGGTCAGTGTGGAGCTGCCATGTCCCAGGGAGTGATTAGAAAGGGCCACATCACAGGAGGAGCTTTCCATAGCTCCTTAGGCTGCAAGACCAGGACTGTCACGTGTGACAAGCTAATAGGTTATTTAACCTCAAATTTCATTGTTACCATCCTTTCAGAGGACACATAACAGAACAAAAGGTCAACAGCTGTGACTATGCCTTTTGGTAGAAGAGGTGTCATGAGGTTATGTTTTAGTTTCTAGGTAAGGGACTTTCTCTTTTCCAAGCATGAAGGATTTGGAAATGCCTGTGTTTATTAACTCACAGCACCATTACTATTCTCAGCCAGGCCAGCTCTTTGGTTATATGTTTGCATCAGTAAAGGACGTCTTCTGCCCAACAAAAGCTTCCCGGTTGCAGTAAAGAAGACTGACTGGATTGAACCCTTCAGAGCATCACTCACCGGTAAACCTCTGGCACCTTCCTGGCCTGGGAGCCCTGGTTCTCCAGGCTTCCCCTAGGGGAAACAATCATGTTCATGTTAGTGAGAGTCTCAGTAAGTCGAGAGAGGTCCTCCTGCCCCTCTGCTCTGCCCAGGTGAGGCCACATCTGGAATATTGTGTCCAGTTCTGCCCCCCTCAGCTCAAGAGAGACAGGGAACTGCTGGAGAGAGTCCAGCACAGCCACAGAGATGATGGAGGGAGTGGAACATCTCCCTGATGAGGAAAGGCTGAAGGAGCTGGGTCTCTTTAGCTTGGAGAAGAGGAGGCTGAGGGGTGACCTCATTAGTGTTTATAAATACGTCAAGGGGGAGTGTCAGGAGGACAGAGCCAGGCTCTTCTCAGTGATGTCCAATGACAGGACAAGGGGCAATGGAGCATAGGAGGTCCCTTCCAACCCCTAGCATCCTGTGATTCTGTGTTTCAGGTCCACCCTTCTGCTGTCAAAAGCAGCCTCCTCTTCTCCCTTAGATGCTACCACACTGAAATCCATGACTGCTCAGGGTTTCACCAGTGATGCTGGAGTCTGAGCATGCAAGGAGGACAGCAGTGACAGACATTCCCATATATTCCTGCACGGTCATGAATGCAGTCTTTGAGGTTCAAAGGCAGCTTACACCTTTGGATTGGTGCACCTCTACAGTGTGTTAATGTCAGAAGGGTAATGCACAGAACAGCACCAGTAACTTGTCAGCACCACATCAACAGCAGCGCGTAGAAACCAGGTGTTTTGATGCAAGCACACAACTGTCCGCAGTTGCTGTGACAAGTGCTGCTCCGTGTACCAGTTGTCCTAATGACTGGGAACTTGGAACCAGCAAATCCCATGTGACAAGTCACAGAAAGAGGCTGGCAATGCCAGATACTGGAAGCACATTCTTCATATAGTAAATGCAGTTGCAAGGAATAACATTAATTGCCCAATTTATTAACACTTCATTTTGGCTGATGACTTCACGGCTCAGTGTTTTTCCCCCAGCAAACACAAGTATAGACTAAGTAGAGAAAATCAAACATAAACCCTCTAATCTTGGACAACATAACTGTCACAGGCCAATATAGAAAAAGCTTCTTTAAAGACCTCCAAACTTTTTATGCTCCATAATCTACCTAAGAAAAATGGATCACTATGTTTAATTTTAGAAGACAACCTTCTTTCTCTGCAATATTTACGGTAGCTGTAAAAGTAGAATCACTAAGTTTTAGTGTATTTATGGTAGCTGTAAAAGCGAAAGAACGCAGTTTCTTTTCAAGATCACTAGTGTGTGACTCTTATAAATTGCTCAAGACAATATAGTCCTTCTTCTGGTATTAAAAAAAAAGCTGTGCAAACAGGCTCCCTGCCCCCTCCAAGGAGTCCATAGATAGGCAGCTCCAAAAACAATAACTGGATGCAGGCTCTGATTGCCTGAGCAAAACAGTTTTAAATTACATTACCGGTTCCCCAAGAGATCCCGGCTTGCCATCTTTGCCGTCATTCCCAGCAATGCCCTGCAAATGAAATGCAAAACAAAGTATAAGGAAGGAGTCAACAGGGAAAATTGACGTGTTTTTTGTCAGTGTTGAGTTTCACAGTGACAATTCTGCTTCATCCTAGAATCACAGAATGGTTGGAAGGGACCTTAAAGTTCATCTGGTGCAATGCTCCTGTAGGGACACCTCCCACTAGATCAAGTTGCTCCAAGCCCCATCCAACCTGACCTTGAACACTTCCAGGGAGGGGGCACCCACAACTTCTCCGGGCAACCTGTGCCAGTGTCTCACCACCCTCTCCCTAAAGAATTACTTGCTAACATCTGATTTAAATCTACCCTCTTTCAGTTTAAAGTCGTCACACCTTATCCTATCACTACATTCCCTGAGGGAGGGTCCTTTCCCAGCTTTCCTGTAGCCCCCTTCAGGCTGCGGTAAGTTCCCACCAGAGCCTTCCCCAGGCTGAACAGCCCCAACTCTCTCAGCTTGTCCTCAGAGGGGAGGTGCAATCATGGCACACTCAGGTTTGCCTCACCCTCCAAGAACTACCTTTCTTCTATAGCTCAGCCATAAACCTCTCTGTGTCACACTATAGTAACAGCATAAAGTGTTTCCAATCTGGAAAGTCTAAGGTGGGCACTCCAACAATCTTAAAACAGGATTCCAGAAACAGCTGTTAGAAATCCTTATAATGCCATTGTCTTCATTCAGCTAGGCTACTTCACACTAGAAATAGCTCTGGCTCTATCCCTATAATGAATAAAAAAACCCCCCAAATGTTGTATTTTTTCTGTAAGAGAAGAGTTTATGCCCAAGATGATACACTTAAAACTTGATTCAGTGCAAAGGAACTCTTTTGACTGTGGATTCAGATAAAGATAGTATTCCACTCTGTGAATATCTGTGCGCTTACACAGGAGCTAGTAACTAATTTTTGTGCTCTGCATAACAGTATTTCTTGCAATGATGAGTCAGACATAGAACAGACCTGATTCATGTGGGTAATTTACACTTAACTTTAAAGTGATGAAATACAGCAGTCACACTCTCCTGGACCAAGGTCATAGCACCAACATGACAGATACCATCATTGATCACAAATATATTTCAAAACACCTCAAAATTCCTTTGTTATAGGCACCTATGTGTTTATGAATAGTTGTATTGCATTTATTGAATCAGAAGAAGCTGAACTGCACTTACTGGAAGTCCAGGCAACCCTGGTGGGCCCTGGGGACCTGGGGGGCCATCTTTACCCTGGAAAGAAAGCAGAAACACTGAGGGTCAGAAAAGCTCTTCAGATGCTTCTATCAGATGAAGATTTATCAAATGTAAAGTTTGATGAGAGACAACTGTGAGAAGCTGGTCTTGTACTCCATGTCACACAGTGTAAGAGGTTTATCTGAATTCCTTATAGTTTAAACTGGAGGGTTTTCTTTTCACATAAAACATAAAATATTAGTTATAAATTGTTACAGATAGAGAACCTACTGAAATCACTGGTAATCTTTTTTTCTGAGGTTCAATTATAGTTAATATTTAGTCCTCAAATTCCTGCATGAGGTGTTCAGCCAGGAAGTAGAAGATCCATATTTTATACCTATCAAATGACTATTTATGAGAAGTGTCTTCCTGATAGTCCCAGGAAATCCCTTTACTCTGCAGGACTGGCTAGTAGCATGCCAAGTCTTTCACAGTGTCTCAGCCTTGATCATCCACTTGAAAGGGAATTTCAGCCAGCCTGTCCATGTAGCCTCTGGCCTCTCTGTTGAGAGTGCTCACTGATTTCACAACAGCCATCAGAACCACAGAATCATAGAATGGCCTAGGCTGGAAGGGACCTTAGAGAGCATTTAATCCAACCTCCCTGTCATGGGCAGGGACGCCTCTCAACTAGATCAGGCAACACACGGGGACCGAACGGGGATTGAACCCGTGACCTTGGTGTTATCAGCACCACGCTCTAACCAAGTGAGCTAACTGGCCCTGTAAGAAGGACCATTACTGTTCACTCAAGATTAATATTTTGGGGAGGATGCTACATATTTATGTAACTACTTCACAGAGCTAAATATAGGTGAAGTTGGTGGTGAAACACCAAGCTTAGAGCTTACTATGTCTCCTGGGTTTCCCGCTGGTCCTATTGGTCCCGGTGCCCCATCTGGTCCCTAAACAAAATAAAGCAGAAACAACAAAAGTGATTAATGCCTTTTGTACATTTATCAACACACTCACTACCACAGCTGGCAACACTGAAGTTTTCTTCAGTTATTCAGTTCAGCAGTCACTCCATCATTTCTTCCTTCATCACAGCAAAGCAGGGTCAACCTCCGCATTCAGTCAGCCTCCAAAGCCAGAAATGGTCTAATATTTGAGTTTGGTCCTGACCTTTTCTTCTGAAAATGGGGGACAAATAGGAAAAAGCCAACCCTGTGACAAAAGTAATTCTGAAGAACAGAAATTATGGGAACAGTCTGAAGTGCACTCTGTGGCAGACAAACTCCTGGAACCATTAGTCAATGCAGACAGATGAAAAAAGTCAGCAAAAGCTGAAGGAAAAAGATATCCAGGGGCACATCACGTTTTGTTCTCTTTTGACAGTCTCAGTTTTACTTTGCACATTTACTGTGAGTCTATACTGAGGGTCTCATAGGATAATTTTAAGATCTTTAAACCTAGTGGAATAAACCTATGGCTGTGGCAGTACGAGGTTAATACAAGCACAGTAAATGTGTCTGTGTTATTAACTTATCCTAAAATAATGCTCACAGGAAGGCAAATGACCCACAAAGCAGGTTCACATGTTGTCCCAGTGGCAAAGCATCCAGCATCCTTTAGGCACTGCTGCCATGTGAAAACAGAATTTTTAATCTAATCCTCTTTTCTCGTCCCTCCTGTCATTTCATCAGTGCAATGTTAAGTTCAGCTTTGAAGAGCCTGTGCTGATCCCCAGAACAACAGATGAAGCTGCGCCCTCTCAGTGCGGCAGAGCCAAAACTGCGCTGTCAGCAGCAACACGAGTAGCGATGACTGTGGGCAAAGAAAGGCGGCTTGGAAAGAAAAGTCCTTCACTCAGGAAAAGTCCCAGCTCTTGGAGGGTGTAAGCAGCAACATCACAGGCAGGACAGCCAAGTTATTTCAGCCCTGCTTCTGCATCGTCACCTCTTTTTCAATATAAAGAACAGTAATTTGTATTCACGGAGAGAGTAGAGCTAGGAACGAGGAGTGTGAGGGAGAGGGTCACATGCAAAAGGCCTTTTAATTCAAAAGTAGCCCACAGGATATGAAAATCGGAAAAAAAAACAATGTGTAAAACTGAGAACTAAAATACTCTTAGGTCGGCTGGTTCTAGACTGACAGCTTATTCCACACACAAGAAACACCTATACACACACCACTAAGTAGTCTCTGCAAAAGAGTTTTAATCATCATTGCCTTGTACAGAGTGATTGAGGTTTAGCATCAATTTACAGAGTGAGTTGAAGCAATCAGTGAAAAGTGGCCGATGTATTAAAGAGTAATTATCATGAGTGGGGAATTCTACGACACTCGGGGGACCATTAGAAACCCAGTGGAAAATGCAAACGCAATGCACAGATGGGAACGGTCCTTTCTACCATGTGGAGCTGGCAACAACCTTTATTAGCAAGGAAAATTCAGGACCATCTTTGCAACAGAGGAACTTACAGGTGGACCAGGGTTTCCAGGAGCCCCTGCGAAGCCTGGCATTCCAGGGTGGCCCTGTAGAACAAAAAAAAAGACTTTATTTATGCATTAGCCACATTTCTAGTTGTATAAAAGTTAGCCGGTGGTTGAACCCTGTGAGGTAACATCAAAATGAGACAATACAGGAAGGACTAGTTATTAGGAAATAAAAAACCATGACATTTTAAAGCAAAAGCTTGGTTTTCAAAGCATGCATGTCAGAAATAAACATAGTTACATTTAAGATGTACTTTTTCTATTGTGTGTTTCAGTCTATGTTAATGTGAGATAAGAACCAATATTGTGGAACTGTACAAGGCAGGAGATCAGGCAGGAAACTAAACCTGTTTAAAATATCCTACAGATCTCATTGAAGAGGTGCTGATTGCACCTGAAACTATTGACTCAGCCCTTGGCAAAACTAACTAGGAAAGTTTGCTCTAATTTAGACCATCCTCCTCTTTCCCGTGACATCTCAGCGCCTCCTAAGAGAGGTCATCCTAACATTCACCAAACAAAACAGACAAACAGAAACACTGGATTTTTCAACCCAAAGATGCCGGACCTCCCAAATCTCATCTAGGCATTGTCTGGGGAAATAACTAAAGGTTAGGTAATGTAGAGAATTGAATGCATCCAATCCAGAGGTGAGGAAACATGGAAAGGTTTTTATTGGAGATGGAGACCTGTAGACAACAGTTATAGTTCCACTTTTCAGCACAGCCCATTAGAAGTTTGTCAGTGATGAAGAGCTCCCATCTTCCTCCTCTGCCTCTGAGAAGGGGATTCCTCTACAGACATCACAGGAGTTATTAATGAAGCACAAGTCACAGTGATGGCACTGTTGGAAAGCACACTCTTTTTACCTGTTCACCTTTTTCTCCTGCATCCCCAGTCATACCACGATCTCCTTTAGCACCCTGATAATGAAAAAAATAACACTGAAAGTCACTTTGATTCAATACTGTATCAGCATTTTGACCTACTTCATAAAGCACTTGGACATCTGAGCATAAAACTCATAAATTAGGACTGAGTCCTGCTTGCTCTCCTCTTAAATTCTTCCCTAGAGTTTCACTACCAGTGTTGGAGCCAGGAATATATGTGAAGAATGGCCTTTGAGCAGACCCAGCATAGCTCTTTTTATTATGTTGTAGTCTCATGGACATGAAGAGGACTTACATATCCTTTGAAAAGTAGGCAGGTTGTTAGGAACTTCACTAAATCAGAGCCTGGGAAGGAATCATCTGGCCCAACAAAGGCATCCAAATCCAGCATTTCCAAGGTGCAGTCAGAAAATTAATACCCAGAAAGTGTCCCCCTCCTTCTTCCTGTCTTAGAGACAACTAACTCCAATGTATATGTCTGTATTATTAATTATTAAAGTAAGGAAAGATGAGTCTCACACAGTGAAAAATACTGAGATCATGGTGAACAAATGATGAGTAATGCACAGAACACTAATTGCTGGCCATGGAAATAATACTCAGATTTACTATGTGAGAGCTAGGAGACAAGTAGGGGAGGGTGGGATGATATTTATTAATTAAAAGAGGCCTAGTTCATACTGCCATAAGGCATGAAGTGGCTCACGAGCAAAGAGCTGTGGTTCTGCTGCTCTGTTTCTGAACAGGACCTAATATTAGCATTGGATGGTCTTGGTGAAGACAATATCCTACATCTTCGAAAGTGCAGAGCTGCTTGGGTCTTTCACTGCAAGGTTCCTCCTAATGCATTTGGAAAACAGTCACAAAGTTTGTCCTTGTGTTTGCACCTTCTCAGGGGTCTTAAAACATTTTCTTTTAACATTTGTAAACCCTGTGATCTGCTATTTACTGAATACAAGTGAGACTATTTATCAATTACTTGACTTTATGCACATGTGCAGTTTAAAGTTGGACCTGTTACTTCACCCTCACATTCAGTCTTGCTGCCAAATTTCTGTTTCCTCATAGCATCTAAGAAAGCAGCAGATGTGGTATGTCTCAGATCGCTTAGCATTTCTACCAGTTATTGTCTTTATGGGTTACTAATTCTTTTGCAAATTTTATCCTGGAACATACTTTCATTTTGATCAGCCCTATGTTTACTTCCGAGACTCTGCTGCTCTCTCCACCACCCTTTTAATTGTGAGGTAAAAAATTAGTTCATGAATCTGTATTAGCTTGTCCTACACCCTAGTAAATACAAATACAAAGATGTCAGAACAGCAGAAGCTGGTTTAGACAGTAGGTCAGTAATGCAGGGATCTCTGGAGGAAACCGTGGTCCATCATGAAATCACCTTATATCTCCCTCCAGTGATTTGTTTCGATTTATTTCGCATTAGGCAGCTGTAAGGGTTTTGATTGTGACCAGGCACTGGTACTGTGACCAGACTGATGACAGATCTCTTCATGGGAAATGCTTGAAGTGTGACATTACTGCAATCCTTCAGACACTTGAGGTTTTACGTCGGCAGAAGCATATAGCTGAAAAAAGGAGTTCTTCCTCAGTGTGTTTCACGAAACACTCAGGATCCCCTAGGGCAGCCACACAGAAACGTGCCCAGGTGGGGTTTGAAAGTCTCCAGAGCAGGAACCTCCACAACCTCTCCAGGCAGCCTGTGCCAGGGCTCTGTCACCCTCACAGGAAAGAATTCCTCCTCATGTTTAGACTGACCTTCCTTTGTCCAACTTTGTGCCCGCTACCCCTTTTCATTAGACAACTGAAGAAAACTAACCCACCTTTGGCCCATCCAGCCCAGGTGGGCCTGTGGGACCTCTGGGACCAGCATTCCCCTGCAACGCAGAAGAGGTAGAGGTAAACACTAGTTTAGTCCCTTGAAACCACAAACATCTAAAAAAGATTCAGGATATTGTTAAAAAAAAATTAAAAATCAGCCCTCTAAAATATTATAAGAAAAAACAAGGTTGCACCACATTCAAGTCCTGGTCACGTCCCCAGCTCTCTTACCATTTTCCCATCCTGGCCATCTCTACCTGGGGGTCCTCGGAGACCTTTATCACCTTTGAAACCTGGGATGCCTGGCAGTCCTGGTGGGCCAGGAGGGCATTCACTGCACACGTCCTAGGAGAGAACATGAAGAAATGAAGCAGCAGAAGACATACAGCAGACCCTACAGACACCCATTGTGAACGCAGCAGTGTGGTGCAAGTATAATATAAAGGCCTTTGGAGTCTGACCAGGGGTTACTTTGCCTTACAGAACTGAAATAAGGGCAGCATGGAGCAGAGAGAGGGTCAGCAGCTAAGCTCACACATGTTGCCATGGGGAATTTCCTATAACTTCTAGTTGGACAGGTCCTAACTGATCATCCAGGATGAAGAAACCAAGGGAAAGCTCTTCCTACTTGGCAGGTCGGAGAGTCCCAAAGCAAAACTACCAAGAATAACCTTGGTTTGAAGCTACAAGACTACTAGAAAACTTGTCTAAACTCGACTGGAAGAGCTGGGTTACTGCTCAGAGGGTAGAATGCTAGGGAAAACACAAATGCCACGCAATGTCAGAAAGGGTGTTCTGCAAGGGAAATTGTATTAAGCAGCTAGCATGGCCAAGGAGAACTCATCCAATGGAATTTAGGAAGACTAAGTGGATGTTACAATGCCATGGAGAATTACAACCTCTTTCCTTCCAAAAATTTGAAACATCATCTCAGTAGTCTTTACATTTCTACTAGCTTCAGGAAATTAAATAAATTTAATGGGTGTGAAATTTCCATTTCAAAGGCAGACTCCCTTGAGCAAGCAGGGAGTGAATTCTGCCTATAAAAGGCAGTGTAACAACGGACAGATCCCTGGGCTGAGAGTTAGGAGACCTTGCTCCAACACTCAGTTTTGTCAATAACCTGTTGCAAAACTGTGGTGTATGGTGCCTTTCTAAGTCTCAGCCCCTACATGCATATTTATCTACTTGTAATATAAGTGCTTAAGAAACACCCAGAATAAAAGAGCCCTAATTCCACCTGGGATTTCAAGGTCCTGGTTTATATAGATTTGTACAAAGTGTGAAGTGAAAAAATACTGAGCAAAAGCAATACACAAGCCATATGAGTGTGTTTAACCACAGCATACTCAAAGGAAGAAAACAAAGGAACATCAGAATGACATCCAGTACCCAAGAATCAGTCTCTGACTATTGCCCTGGTCAGAAATCACAAATATCATACAGTGAAATATCCAGAAAAATACTTGGCTCCATAAGAAACATAGTTCTTGAATAAAGGCATTTCACCACAGCAATCTTAAAAGGGTCCTTTCATTAATGGGGTTGGTAAAAAAAGGCAATTTTTTTACTTTCTCTTAATCAGTAAGAAAGGATTTCTTGCCATGTCCCAAGACTGCTTAAAAATCTCCCAAATCAGCTTACGTGAATCTGTAAAGATATTGCAGTCAACACCTATTAAATATTGACTTATTTGCCAGACAACTCTCTACATGGAGAGTAAAAGCAGAAAGCTAGATTGTCACTTTTGAAATAGAGGTGCATCTGGGGTTAAATACCTGCACCCTTTCAGATGCACCGTGCAAGCTGACTTTACACCTACCGTTCAGAACTACTCCAGTCACTGTTGAAAGTATAAACAAAAAATCAGACATTTTATTAAAATGGTTTCCATTTCCTGACTTAGGTAATACAACTTGACGATGTTTATTTCTCCTTGGGAATGCATGCCTCAGAAAGAACTGAAAATGTCTCAGAATTTTTGTAACATATACCCTGCTCCAAAGATCTTTTTGTAGGTCATTTCACTGCTGGGGATGGTCAAGAGGCACTGGATTTTGACCTCCAGCATGTGCTCTAGTGTTTCAATACCACTGCAAATAGACCTGCAAGTTTATAGCTTTGACAGAATGACTAAAGGCACCTTTTGCACTTGTAGAACAGGCACTTCCTTACCGCAGAATATTACTCAGGTCTGAATCAAATGTACAGATAAACTCCCACTGCCATCAAAAGCTGATTACCTTCACTAAGAGATTTATGTCCTCTGGAGAGAGCAGGGGTGAGGAACCCTGTGGAATGAGAAAGTCATTAGCTTACGCAGTTTTAAAACGCATCAAGGTGTAAGAACTTTTCCTGAACATGCTTACGGTCAGTGGTTTCCCTTGTCCTGCCTAGGACCCACTGGGCCAAACACATACCGCCTGCCTGACACTGTTAATCCACGTCATCCCACCGGAGATGACTTCTGGCTGAGGATACTGCAAAGTGGTGCTAAGAAAGTGCCTTTAAAATTTTGACTTTCGTTTACATGCAGGATCTCCAGTTACCTTCACATTGTTGCAAAGCCATCACAGATATTTTTGTCATAACCCCTTGGTGTTTCTTAGTGTCTTTCCAGTTGCTCTGCTGGGAACAGCAGCTGTGGAAACACACTGAAGTGCACTTCTGAGGTGAGGTGTACAGGAGGAAACTCAGTTAAAAGGAAGATGTAATATAGAAGTGAAGTTACATACCGGTTTTCCAGGAGGTCCTCTTTCCCCTGGATGTCCAGGCAGACCCTACAGATCAAGATAAAGAAAAAAGTGAAGCTATCATACAGTAACTCCCTGGTTGCTGCCACATTCTGCTGACTGCTCTGGACTGGCACACATTTTGCTTTCTGCCACTGAGTACCAGTGCTCCTTGCATGTGACAAACAGTAAACTCTTTTAAATGTCTTCAATGTCCTCTGAATGCCTCCTAACTCTCATTTATCTATCACATGCCCTTGTTAAATTCATCTGAGTCACACAAAGACTGAAATTGCTTTTGCTTGTCTTCTGGTCACAGGCAACACTACGAACTGCGGTAGTGTGAAGGATGAAGCTTTAAATTCCTGAAGACACCTGTAACATGCACAATCAAGACCTTGCTTTGCACAAGCCTTGCAAACAGGTTCTTTGCACTTGAAATAGCAATGAACCTGTCTGTTTGTTTTGGGGATGTTTTGGTATCAGTTCTGATGACATGAAACAGCTAGAATCCTTAGAATTAAAGGATGAGGAAGTAATGGTTTGGAAAAAGGACACGTGTCCATCAATGGGCATTTCCTGCCTGTCATTATCAAGTCATTAGTTTGTTAAAAAAACCACAAAAACCAAAAAGCAAAACCAAACAAACCCAAATATTATTTTTGAAACTTTGCGTACAGTAATGCTCACATCTTTTGAACAGGACAGCTTGTCGCTGTCCAGCTGCTGACAGAAATCTGCATTGTAAGGGTTCCTGCAGTAGTGTTTCAAGCTGGACTGTGTGAGATTACCCCAAACCGCTCTCTGACAAATTCCTGTTGACCCATCATCTGTGTCATCACTCAAGCATATGCACGTTCTATCCACATTAAGTACCTTAAAGAATATACAAAATATATTTTATCTTAACCACATACAAAAGGCTGTCCTATGTGACTGCTTTTGCACCTGTAGGAATATTTTCCATCTTATCTGCATTCAGTTGTGCTGATTCTGGAGCAGGATCCACCTGAGGAAGTCTCTGGGATGGTGCCATATTTCATACCCGAAAATTAATACATGGAAGATACGAGGTGTGGCTTTCAACTTGTCTAGGTTCAACTGGGAAACTCTCTGAGACTATTCAAAATTTCCACCCAAAAAGCTCCTTTAAAAATTGGTCAAGTGCTTTGTAAGGAAGGGGTTTAAGCAGTCTGTCTATCACCTTGTCTCACGTTGGCCCGTTGTCTCCAATCAGTTCATTGTACTATTTATGTAGACAACCAGATCAGGAATTACTTGACTACCTGCAGATTAATAATTGAAGCACACTGTGTCGTGAGACCCTGGCACACCTTAATTATAGCTACAGAGCAAACCTGAATGTCATCTTTGTGTCTCATTCGTAAGTTAAATCCTGTACCTCTCACTAGAGAAGAGAGAAAATGGGAAAACATATTGATTGTTCTTTTTCTGTGTCCACATTAAACACTTCTAGGTGAAGAGCAACCCTTCAGTTACATTGACTTTCTAAGAGACGGATATTAAACACAAAATTGAAGTTGAGCTAAAGCGGATCTGAAGCAGTACTGAAGCCCATGGGTTAAAGCTCGTTTCTTGAGGAACTAAACCTTCTGTAGGTGAGAACCAAGAGAAGATAAAGTGTGAAGGAGATTCTTAGCTCCTAATTCCTAAAAATGCCTTTCTGGAGATCTGTGTAAATATAAGGAACGGTTGTTTTTCATGTTGACTATTAATGCAGCTATAAATACACTATTTATACCATAGGGCTCACTGACAGTCTTTTGCTTAGGGATCTGAAATATGACACGGTACTGCCAATGGAATTTGAGAATTGGAAGCAGAATTTGAGGAGGAATATAGGAAAAAACATCTTAGTAATGTGAAATGACGCACAAGAAGGGAGTGACCAAAACTGAAACCCTAGTATCAGATTGCCTTGACACAGTAAGAGATGGACCTATTTTCTTGAATGCTGGATGATATGGAGCTGGTGTAAATCAGCCATGATAAGAAATTAAGCCATTTGCCATGGCTGAAAAATCTGAAAACCACTGCATTCCCAGAAAAAGTCACATAGTTGAAAGGTACAAGACTGCAAAAAAGAGTGTCCTTCAAGAGCGCTTGTCTGAGCTGAAATGAATAAACCAGATGTAGGATGACAGCACTTCAGCGTGTTGCATTAATAGAAAACAGATGACTGGAAGCAGAATCCAAAGTAGGGGAGAGATGGCTGGACTACAGAAGCCTGGAGTCAGATAAGGGTGACAACAAGGACCAAGCTGCAAACACTGCTCAGAACAGAATAAAAATGCTGGAAGGAAGGCACAGAGGGTATAACTGCATCTCACAAGATGACTAACAGGGGAGGAAACTGGGAAAGAGAAAGCCAGACATTTAAAAAAAGAACTTAAACGAGTCTGCCCAAAGAACTACATGGCACTGCAAAGAAATGCTGCTGATGCGATGAGGGAACGTGCACAAACCCAAGCGACAACCAGTGTCCGAAAGCTTGTAAAGTTGGAACATTTTCAGGAGTTTGCAGTCAACAGTGGTTGGCACAAAGCAGAATATCCAGTGAGTGGTAGAGCATACCAGTGCACGAAAACGATGTCAGCAATGAGAAGGTATCATGCACAGGATCCAGACTACTCTGTCTCTGCAACCTCTGAACATACAGGAAGAGTTTCTTAACTGGGAACCAAGGTGAGCTGTGCAGATGACACACTGAGAAATGAGGCTTAGGTAAGTGAGGTACATGAAAATAAAAGCAAGAGAATAAAAGCAAGAGGAAGTCAGTAAGGAAACCAGTCACACTGGCTTATGGTGGGGTAGTTCTACTACAAGACTGGAAATGAAACTTGAAATGCAATAGCTTAAATAGGTCATAGGTCCCGTGAATAAAAAGGCAAGAGGAGGTTTATCAAGTGTTCTCAGGTTTGGGGTGTAGGCACCCTGAAACAAACACAAAGGTTCCTTGGAACTCTCTTTCTACCTGTAGGGGAAAATCAAGCCCAGAACAGAAAACTGCTTTTCAGATCCAGTGGCAGTAATGTATGTGTTCATAAAGCTTTTGTAATTATGAAAATAAATGCAGGGGAAGATTAACTTCCTGGTAATACTGGAACTTATTTGTAATAAATAATTAACATAATTAAAAAGTGATTAATCCAATGTTTATGTTAATTAAAATTATCTTAATGAATATACAGAAAGAGCCTATTAACAGGTGCCCTCACCCATAGCAGGACAAGAGAATGTCTCATTTAGGTTGTTTTCTAATTTAAGGGAACTAAGTAGGTGTGCTGAATGGAAACATTTTATCTCCCAGTAGACAGACAGAGAAGAGTGGATGCTGCCCAAAAAATGTGTAAAATGTGTAGTGTCAGGGTATTTGGCCAGAGATTGTCTGTTCCTTTAGGGGTACCTGGTCAAAGATCTTTTTTAAATGCAACAAGGGAAAATAAGGAGGAAGCTATAAATAAGAACATACAGGGATACAAACCTTACTGACAAAGAGGGGAGGTACTGATGGCAACCAAACCTGGACAGTCACATCAATTGATGAAGGCATGTGGGAGTCTGAGAAGGTTTATTCCAGGAAGGTTATCTGATTTAGGACCTTGTCATTTTGGAAACTAAGGGAAAAGGAAGAAACCATAAGCAAAATATACGAAGACATCTCTAAGATGTAGAAATACAGGAATACTCACAGTTTAAAGTGTGATTTGTTTTCTGTTTTGTTTTGTTTTTTGTTTTGGTTTGGTTTGGGTTTTTTTCTCAAAAGCAAGTGCAAGCAATATTTGAAGTAACTCAGCATATGAAAGGTATCATATGTAGCAGACCTGTTATGGAACAAATAAGAGCTACTACAGGAAAAACAAAAGACCACAAAAAAAGCCTAGAGAAATAAGTTTTCAGGCTTTAAGAATTGGAGCTTTAGCTAATCAGGAAAAAAATTAAAAATTAAAGACAAGATAATAATGAATGTGGGACAATAAAGTATGTCCCAGCTTTGTCCCAGAAGAAGAGATTCTGTAGGAATTTATGGCCATAGTGAACCTAGAGGACAAATAAACTAAGAGGAACAGAACAAAGTCAAATTTGCATGACTCTACTGTAAACCTAGATCAGGATTTTCAAAACCTATATTCTAATAAAACAAGACATTGTCCTGAGAACTCCTGATATTTGATTGAGTTACCAACAGATGTTTCAAAAGGTGACCTTGGGCAGTGCTACTGCATATGGCATATGATTTTAGGCCACTAGAAAGAACCCAGAATGTAGTCATGTAAGAAGCCCCAATCTATTCATCTATGGGAGATAATTCTGGCCAAAGCTATTGCAAAAGAAGTATTGACTCTTCCACCTCCCCAAATATAACCGTAAATCTGATTTTCAGTATCAGAGAATACAACAACTTATCGCAGACACTTCCAAGAGCGTCTGACGAGTCTGCAGCTGGAAAAAAATTAATGCAGAGAATAACGTAATGCATGTAGATGTGATTTACAGATTTAGTCGGCCTCAGAAAAAAATCTATGGAATGCATTTGCAAAGGCTACAGCTAAAAACCGAGACATTGAGGCAAGTCATTAAGGCTTTTTCTACTCAATGGCTTGAGAGTTCCATGGCATATTCTTATTAGCAATTCAAATCAGAACTTTCCTAGGTGATGACATACTGTTTAAACACAATAGTGTACAAAAATTGGTATGCTTCAAAGACTACAAGGATACTACATTGACACACGAGAGTGCAAAAGCAGAACAAAAAAATCCTTTGTACTAGTCATAAATAAAAGTGGAGATTAAGAAACTGTAAATCATCATATTATCAAAAATAGGTATTTCTCAAGTTATACCAAGAAATGTTGGAATGTGCCCTGTAATTATATTTACACTACCTGAAACACAGAATTGCTTAACAGGTGATCATCCAGAATACAGAGGGTTCCTAAAAGGCATATTGTAATTATTGCAATTGAAACAGCCTAAGAAAGGATGTGTTTTTTAAGTACCACAAAGTGTGGTTCTTTTGGGCTGATTTTCTGCATGGAAAAGAAAAGTGTGGTTCTTTTGGGATAATTTTCTGTATGGAAAAGAAAAGTAGTAAAGACTGTAGTACTGCCTCTACAAGAGCTGACCAGTCAATGCTGATCCAAGTAGAGCCAGAGACTCAGAAAATCTGGCTCTGATACTCTCGTCACACAACACAGTTGTAATAAACTATTGTATCTCCTGTTTCAAACCTCTCGAATTAAAATCTCAAACTTCTGAGACAAGGTGAGGAGATCTAGGGGCAGGCAGCAGAACACAATCAGTGCCGGATCTTGCTCAGGGACACAGGGTGATGGAGGCAAGGGGCCATTTCTACTATCATGGGCTGTGGAGGAATATCCTGGCCATTTGTCTTGTGACAAAGGAGGTGAGAAGAAAACTAGACCGTCGCCTCCAAATACTGCAGGAGGAAAGGAGATCCATCCCATAGGAAAGTGCACGCAGCCGATGTTCGTCAATAAGGCCACACTAGGGTTGAAAATCCCTTGCCACGGACCTCATGAACCGGTACCCTTTTCAGACATGACAGCATCATAAAGCAGCGCTGAGAAGGAGAGTTACAGAAGGCCACTGCTCCCTCCCCACAGCGTTTCCTCAACAGGAACAAATCCAAAGATCAAGCCTTTCAAAATCATCAGAGCCTTCTTGCTGGTTTTCCTCCAGGACTGGTTTCTGTATCACAGAGCTGGCTGACCAGCAGAGAAAAAAAACGCTCCTCTTTCTGATTAAACACTGAGACAAAGACAGGCAGCGAGAGGGGTCAGCTTCCCAGCTGGGAGCTGCCACATCTCTCTCTATCCCTCAGCTCCATGACTCACCCACTGAGATGACAGAAGTGAGGACAACGCACCAAAAGGTTAAAATGTCATCTCTCACGCACGGCAGCAGCAAAATGAACTCACAAAGAGCTTTTTAACAGCTGTGGCCTTGTTTTCACAGAAATATTAGAGGTAACTTATCTCAGCGGCTTCTAAGAAGTTCCTAGACATCTTAACAGCATCATTCTCCATTGTGGGAATTTTGCTCAGTGTATGCTGCCAAGCACATGCTCCTCCAGTGTCGTTTTAAAATGGTTCAGTTGTGAAGTCCACCGCTTTCCTTGAGACAGCCCTACTTGTTTTTCCCTCCCTGACATCCTAACTTGTAAGAGCTCCACTTGAATTGTCTCCCTTGGACCACAGTAATGCTTAATTAATGGTCAAGCATGAGCACAGTTTTTAAGGATATCAGATTTGAGCAGAGGCAGATTTTTTGAGCACTTACACTTTTATTTTACTTACATCCTGGCCTGGAGGCCCCTGTGGTCCAGGGATACCAGGTACACCACGGGGACCCTGGCAGAGAGAGAACAAACAAACTCAATAATGTGAACAGTGTTTATAAATACTTCTTAGCTGAAGAGAAGAAAACCTCAACTCAACAGTTACTAGGAAAAAAATAACTAGTATTTAAATGACTAGGAGAGAATTTAAGAAAAAAATATTAAGTCTCACATTGCACTATCACAATATCAGTCATTTCTGTGCCTCAAGGGACTTCACGTGCATCACTGAAGTCAAGCCTCACATACATTAACTGGAAAGCTAATAATGACTATTTATAGGAAGCAAGTCTATGAACAGGGAGAAACTGAGCACAGCACTGTGGAAGAGAAAAGAAGGTCAAGCTCCTACATTGGATAGGATTGGTTGTTGTGATGGAAACTCGTGCCAGTGCGTACTGAGACTATGATACACAGTCATTTGTTTCACACCAACAGATTGCATTCTTGTAAAACTGCATGTTGAGGAACTAAGTGTGTTTGGTGCATACTGAAATTCGGGGCTTTCTGTAACGTTTAAATAAGAAAAATGGGTTAAAATGGTTTATTTAAAACCTTTGAAGCCTTGGCTATAAGGCATAGTAGTGTGCCTTGAATTACATGCCTTGAAATACTTTTTTTGAATGAAGGGTTAAAGAAGTGACTCATTCTTTCTTTCACAGCATGTTGACAGATAAGGAAAAGTTGTGACCATGCCAAGAATCTCATCAAATCTCTCTCGCTATCGCAACTCAGAATAAAACAGACAAGTAATTCATAAGGCATAAGAAAAGTCCCTTTTGGAGAGTCAGTCACTCTGTGGCCCTGCCATCCTCGGGCAAAAAGAAATTAATTAAACATCCCTTGATGAAACTACTGGTAGAAACACAATTAAAATGGTTGTCCCCTCCCCATAAAATCGGCGTGTAGTTAGAAAGACATACTGTACCAATGACCCTTTGTCTCCTGGGGGTCCCACAGGGCCCTGCAAACAGAAAAGATAACAGCAATCAAAACATTTAAAATTAACACCACCCACTTGGTTGATCAGGGTGGGTCCTAAAACACCAATACAACAAAAATTGGAGAAGGAACGGCAAGGAAAAGGAGCAAGACTGCTCACACAGACATTGTCGGAGTGTGCCATACACAGAGTCGGTTGTTTAGGGGAAGAATCAAAGGCAGAGTAAGGAAGAAATGGAGGTGTATCACAGAGAAAAAAGTGCAGGAAAGAAATAAAAAGGGACTAGAGAAGTCAGCTGTAAGCTAACACGGTGCTTGTCTTGCTGAGCCCTGCATTTCATCAGCACAATCATAGAATCACAGAATATCTCAAGTGAAGCGACCCACTGGTGACTGGCTGCCAGCCTGGTGTAACCCCATCTACTATATGCTCATTAAGCCCTATCTGTAACACTCTTCAGCATGAGATCGTGTGGTTGAATCTCAGTGAGCTTCAAGCCAGATGAGCTGGTGAGTAGGAGAGGTCCGGGTGTCAGCAGCTGGGCTGCCAGGCTGTGAGCACAGGGGGTCACAGCTCTGGGTGGCAGCAACGAGGACACTGGGGTGAAGAGGCCTGGGTACTGGGCACAGTAGGTGTCCAAGACTGGTTGCTGGAAAGATCCATATTTTACACACACATTCCAACAGCAGCCTTATAACCTCATCAGCCAGAGAGAAGGAGTGAGATTGAGATGTACTCCCTCATGTTTCTGAGGCTGCTCTTTGGGTTTATGTGAGGGTTGATAAAGACATTATTCTCTGCATTGGTCTCTATGTGTCAGGAGCAGTGTGGGCAGCAGGAGCAGGGATGTGATTCTGCCCCTGTGCTCAGCCCTGGGGAGGCCT